AGTGAGCAGAGTAAGCCTGATTCCCTATAAGGACTTCTCTGTTGACATCCACCCCTTGGCGCTGATATAACCTAATGCAGTTGCGAGCGCCGTAAAACCGTACTAAAACTAAAACACATATAACTCTCTTCTACAATAAACTAACATTTAACCAGGTAAACATCTTTTTCTTTTCCCCAGGAGTCTCCAGTCATCGTCTACAGACGGGCATAGAACAGGACTGAGTGTTGCGAGAAGTGGTCATTTCACATAGGCCAGTCTAGCACAGAACACATAGGCCAGTCTAGCACAGAACACATAGGCCAGTCTAGCACACAACACATAGACCAGTCTAGCACACAACACATAGACCAGTATCCCAAAACACACAACGACCAGCGTTGCACAGAGTATTATTTTGAAATAGGTCAGTGTCTCAAAGAACACACGCACACACACACACAGACAAGTGTATCAGAGCACACAGAGACCAGTGTGTCGTGTGTCAGAGAACACATAGACGCGTGTGTGGTGTCGTGTGTCGCCTAGAGAGCACACATAGACACGTGTGTTGTGTCGTGTGTCGCCCAGAATGACCCGTGAGAAGTTTGAGTTCACCGATCCTAACGCGGGCGGCAGCGAGACCAACCTGACCATGGCTTCCGGCGGAAGGAAGAACGGCGGATGTTACGTCAGCGGGGTGGTGGGCGTGGCCCTCACGCTAGTCGCCATCTTGATCGCCGTGGGCGTGGGCCTGATCGTGCACCTGGCGGAAGGGGAGAGGGAGCTGGTGTGTCAGTGTGGCTCAGGGGACGGACATACGGGGGCTGCCTCGGCCGACGCCATCAAACAACAGTGTGAGCAGTGGGCGGGCCAGGGAGACCAGGACATCTGTAAGTACATCACGTGCCGGTGTGTGTGTGTGTGTGTTTGTGTGTGTGTGAGTGTGTGTGTGTGTGTTTATGTGTGTGTGTGTGTGTGTGTGTGTGTGAGTTTGTGTGTGTGAGCAACTCGCGGGGCAGGGAGACCAAAACATATGTATACAACACGTGCCTGTGTGTGGTGGAGGGAAGGGAGAGGGGGTAAGAGAGGGAGACGCTGACATCTGTGAGTATATCACGTGCATATACTTGGGGAGGGGAGGGGAGAGGGGATTGGAAGGAGGGGGGGGGGGGGGAAA